TTTTTTTTTTTTTTTTTTTAACAAAAACAAGGTCTCTTTCAGTTGAGGATGCCAGGATTCTTATGGAAAAGGGCCTCCAAAAACGTATTCCCAAGACTTGGGCCTCCTATAGTCCCACTGGTCTTACATTGCCTGGTATAACTTTCTGGTTCATTTTCAGGTTTCAGCTACTGGGATCAATGGGCATTTTTCCCTAAAGCATTCCCAGGGGATGCTTGTGTGACATGTCTTGGGGATACAGTGACAGTTCTGCAATGCTCAGATAAGGACAGAGTATAGGGCAGAGGGTCTTGGCTCCCCCTGTGCCTCTTGCTTGCCAGTGAGGGCCTATCTGGTCTCATCAAGCCAAAGCCTCAACTCTCTTGGAATAATGGCCCAACAACCAGGAGAGGGCTCCCTGGAAGATGCGTTTGGGGTACCCAGCCTCACTGAGGGACCCATCTGTCCATGAGCTTGAAGGATGTCTATTCCACGGAGCGGGTGGAGTTGGTATCGGACTCTGCGGTACGGCCTAGTGGGCCCAGATGCCAAGGTGGGAGGTGCTGCTCCCTAGTGGGCAGGAGTAACCCTGGAACAGGGTGGGAAACCTAGATCTCAAGGGCACCAATCTTGCCTGGCAGAGGGCAGTTGCCTCGGGAATTGCCTTTGCTGGCTCTATAGCCAGTGGCCACAGGTATTCTTGGCACCCGGCATTTCCCTGTGTCCCTCTGGAACCAAATGCTTTTGCTCTCAAAGAGATCTTTAGGTCCAGCCCTATTATTCACTTGTGGATGGTTTTCCACCAGGAATAAGCAACGTATCTCCTCATGCATTGGGGATATGAGCAAGGTTCAAAGACATCACCAAGAGAGGGTGACAGTGCCCTTCAAGTCAGGGAGGTGACACATGTGACTTCTGCAGCCACACAGAATTGTGCGTTTTGTTAGAAACAATGAAAACAAAGACATACACATAAACACATGCATGTTTGCTTTCTTGTTACATGTCATAGCTAGTGAGCTTCTTGGGGGCTTCTAAATTTGCCTTGAGTGTTCATACTCTTGATGGTAAAAAATGTGGTGGCCTGAAAATTCACAGGGAGGTGCACTAAGAAAACAGTGCAAAGGTGTTCACTAAGCACACGACCCTTTCACTCTGCACACTGGCACCTGATGGTGCAAATACAGCTTGCTCTGCGTCGCCTGGCCTTGCCTTTCTTGCCACAGTCCCCTGCCCAGCACAGATGGAGGGCAGGCAGCCCGTGTCTTCCAGGAGCCAGGGGATGCAGACACACAGAGGAGGCACACAGACAGATGAGACATCTCTCAGGGTAGAGGTGGAGGTGTCCTGGGTACCATGAACCTGGGGTGTCACTGAAACATCTATGCCCAGTAAGCTCGTGTCTGGGGCTCTATTAGCCCCGGGGGCCCCAGACCAGACATTCTGGGCAGTGCTTTCACCAAGTCTCTAGGACACCGTGCTAGCAAGCAGAGTTTGGGGGTCTCTGTGTGACTCCTCCCATGGCCTGGTAGGAGGGCTGCAGATCTTCTTACCCTCATGCCCTCAAATCGTGACAAGGCTCTCAGGGGGCGGAGGGCACGCAGTGTCCTCAGCGACTTGATGGGGCCCATCTCGGCAAAGCCCAGAGTGTTGGCCACCAGGCTGACCAGTGAGACCTGTGGAGGAAAGTGGAGGTGGGACATGGGACAGGGACAGATGGCAGGGTTCTGGGGCTAGCTCAGACAGGCTGAGCGTGAGCCAGTCTCCATTGTCCCTGGCTGGCTCGGCTTCACAGGCCTGTAGCACTGGGCCAGGCTCCCAGCACCCAAAGGTTTGGGGTAAGCCAGAGAGTCGTGGCTTCAGAGCCCTCTGAGAGCTGTTCTGCATGTCACACATTTGCTCTGAAGAGGCCCACTACCCGAAATGGTGGGGCTCAGCCTGCCCAATTCACACACTAGAACCTAGAGTTCACTGGGGAACTCCTGTTTGGTGCCTTTTGCCCTCTGAGCCCTGTGGGACCCGCTTGCTGCCTGCTCCACTGCTGGGTAGTGATCACAGGCTGCAGAGGCCCCTGCCTGACCCTCCCCAAAGCACTGTGAACCTCACCCTGATGTTTGGACTGCCTGGGGTGTGGAGGGTGGTGGTCAGCCAAGTCCTACGGCCTTTTATCTCAGACTTGGGAGCACTGTGCAGCAGGGGGCTGGCTGCAAAGGGGCTGGAGGAGGCAGGGGGTGTCTTTTGGAGCACCTCCTCCCAGGACAGGGTGTACAGAGCACCAAGTCTGGCCAGTCTGGCGGCTCCACTCCTGACAAGCCACCCTTGGCATGACTGTTCCTTCTGAAGCTCTCCTTGCCCGCCCCACCCCTTCTCTCCTTGTCTACCATCTCTTGAAGGCAACCTTGTCCTTCCAGGGCCTCTGCTGTCCCTGCCTCCTCTGTCAGTGACACCCTAGGTCTAACCTGTCAGGATTTTCTGTTGGCTCTGCCTTCAGACTACATCAGATGGCTAAAGCTTTCTCACCGTGTGTGCTGCCACTGTCCTGACTGGCCCCCCTCATCCCTCCTGAGGTGACTGCAGGGCCTCCTGGCTCTGCTCCCACTGTGTCCTCTCCCTGTTCCCATGACAGAGCCATCCTTTATGAGCGAAACCCAGTGCGTGTCACTGTTCCATCCAAAGCCCTTCAATGCCTTCCGCATTTCATTCTAAAGAAAAGCCAGTCTTGCCCAGTCCTTAGCCTTCAATCCCCTGTTCCAGCCACTCTGGTCCACTTCCATTCCCTCAAGTGTGCACATGCTCCAGCCTCAGGGCCTCTGTGTGACTTTTCCACCCTCTGCTTGGAATGGTCTGTGAACATCCAGCCTGTTAGCCCCAACTTCCTTCAGATTTGCTCAGAAATCACTCCCTGGGCTCACTCTGGCCAGGTATTCACAGCTGTGACCCGCATCCCACCCCCAACTCTGCCCACGGCTCCTACTCCTAATCGCCTTCCCTCCCCTAGTTCCTGTTCCCCCATGCTATATATTACCTACTGACCTAACCTAACCTAAAACTCGTTTCTTCCTTATGCCTATTATTAGCTGTCACCTTCTCCATGTAGGCAGGGATTTTTGTCTGTTTTGTTCCCCGAGACCTCTAGCACCTCCAGCAGTGCTTGTGCATAACATGCTTAATGGTATTGAAAAAAATGCACAGACAGATGCTGGGGACCCCCTCTTCCCTTTCCCGGGCAGCATGGCCACTGGCAAGAATCCCCCTTCTTCTGCCCAGCCGTGGGCAAGGCCCTCCTCGTGGTGACCTCAGTGGTTTCTGCACAGGCTTGTCCTCCTGGTGGACTGAGTAGGAAGCACTGTCTGTCATATTTCACTCCCTGGCCTTGGCTCTATGGTAGCAGCCTCCACTGACCTTCCCCTGGGGGTGCCCAACCTCCCGAGAAATTGCTGGAAAAGTCAGGCAGGGAGCCTCAGGGTCCTTTCTTCACCTCGGGGAGGTTCCAGGACTGAGCCAGGCTGCCCAGGACATCTAGAACTCCGTCTCCCAACCCCTGATATACCGCACCCCTCATCCAAGAACTGGGGGGACAGAGGTCTCACACACTCTCTAGTCCATGCAACCTCTTCTGCTGAGGACTCCACGTTCTGAGGATCCCCCTCTCACCCATGCTTCGTGGCCCAGGCCCGCATCTAAACCAGGTCTACAGGTGACTGAGCCCCTCTCTTTGGCTTCTAAACAGGGTGTGGGAACCGAGCCTCTTCTGAAACTGCAGCAAGTCCCCCTTCTGGTGTAGAGAGCATGTGTCAAGCCCAGGAGCCCACAAACCAGCACCTTCTGGAAAGGCCTTTGCAGTCTGTAGGTCCTGACCTATGCTTTGGGCTGTGTGCAGGGCCCCACAGATGGGCACGCTCTGGAGTCCTCTGTACTCTTTGCTTCACTGTGTCCCTTGGCACTCCCCTCTGTGACAGCAGGTCTAGGGGCTCCCACTTGGCTGTGCTCAGAACCCCTGCTAAAGCTTACATGCATCCTGCAGCATCCTGGGGGCTGGGAGGCTTGGGCTGGGGGCTTCCCACTCTGACTGCCATTGGATGCCTGGGCCAGTTATGCTTCCCTACCACACGGGTGACCTCACCAGCCTTGTCCTCCCCGAGTACACCTTCTCTCTGTGCCTGCCCTGTCCTTCCCCAGCCTTCTCCCTACTAGTCCCCCAGCATGGCGCAGAGGCTCTGAGACACTTTGTAGTCACCTACGGGGAGGGCTGCAGTACAGGTGTGTCTGCCCCTTCCTGTTCTGGCCACCTGGAGAGGGGGAGCCCCTCATCCTCTTTGGCTCATGCCCGGCCCAAATTGCTTTTGAACTGTCTCTCCTGAAAGCAGGGGCCTTGGTCTCCTATTGCTTCTTCTCCTGCTCTAAATAGGGGTTCCAAAGGTTGGAGCCACGTCTCCCATTTCTCCTCTTCCTTCTACATTGGGGACCCTGAGCCGGGACTCCCCACACTCACGTCCACGATGAGGAAGTCGAGCCAGCACCAGGCATTGGTGAAGTACTTCTTGAAGCCATAGGCCACCCACTTGAGCAGCATCTCCAGCACGAAGACGTAGGTGAACATCTTGTCGGCGTACTCCAGCAGAACTTTGATGGTCTTCCGCTCCTCCAGGTAAATGTCCTCGAAGGCCTGCGGGCAAGGTAGACCAATGGGCACAGTGTCCTAGCCACTGCGGGGTCCATCATATAGGAGGCACCAGGTCTAACAACAGTGCAGCCGGGAGGGTAGGAACAGAGGTGAGAAACACAGTGCTGGACTAGGTTCCCCTCTCAGCTTGAGTCGGAAGTGGTCCTGGCAGGAGGTGGATGGACAGGACAGCAAGAGAGAATAGTTCTTCCTTTATGTTTAAGAGCCAATGTCAGTTCTGGGCTGGGGAGACTCTAAGATTAACTTTTCTCAAGTATGCACACATCCCATTTTAATACAAAGAGAGGGCAAGCAGGCTTGACTCACCACTTTCTGCCCCAAGGAGTGTAAAATGGTTTTTGCTTTCATTTTCTGTAAATAGTTACTTAATTTTCACAGGAAATCATAATGTTCTCCAATTATAATAATGATTGTTTCCCTTGGCAAAAAACCAGTGCAAGTTGTTTTACAGTAGAATTGGAAATACATGATCATTAAAGAGGAGCTGGGTGTGGTAGTATACACTTGTAACCCCAGCACTTTGAAAGGCTTGGCAAGTTTGAGCCCAGCCTGCGCAATTTAGTGACATCCTGAGGCAAAAAATTAGAAAAAAGTCGCAGATATAGCTCAGCACAAAGGTACTGTGTTCAATCCTTACTAGCACACACACAAAAATTTTAGATAAGAAGTTTAGGAAATACAGTAGATGAGGCAAAATCTCTTGCAGTCCTCAGAATCTAGGAGTCAATGTTTGTAAAGCACTAGAGGCTGCAAATCTGTGTCCATTTGCTTATTCCTGCCACTACCCAGGTCCTGAGCCAACAGGGAAGTGCCCTGCTGCATTGTCTTCAGATCGGTACTGTTCCTCAGATCCCTTCTCATCCTGAGTATGCCCTGAGGTCCCTGTCTAGGCAACTGCACACGTCACTGAGATCCCAGGGGTGTAGCTTCCTCCTGCCACTCCTGGGCCTCCTTGTGTGGCTTTGGGGCCTCTGTGAGCTACAGTGACCAAGAGTGAGTGCAGCTGGAAGTGCCTGGGGATGCACTGCAGAGATGTAGCTAATATACAGTGGTGCCTCGGTTCGTGGACTTAGTCTGTTCTACAATCTTGGGAAAGATGGCTGCACTTGTATTTGTGTGGGAAAGATGGCTGTTGCCATGTTTGTCACTGGATGCAGTCTGTAAACAAAAAGAAAATTTTGCCAAATGCTTCTAGTTGTGAACCAAATTGCTTGCAAAAGAAACTGTTCATGAACTGAGGCACCACTGTATATGGCTAATTGGGTCAGTGTAGATAGCACAACAGTGTAATTTGGGTCCCTACATGGATTTGAGAGTTGTTTGAGGTAAAAAGTAGGTGTGTGTGTGTATGTGTGTATTTAATATTCTTTAAATAAAAATGTGTATTTCCTACAAAAATATTTAATTTTTTCTATATTATTTAAATATAGAGATTATATAAGATGAGCATTTCTAATTCCATGATACCACTGTAACTAACCAAGGCTAACATGTAGGTGAACATTGTTCTTGACACTAATTATGAGTGTGTGTACAAATGCATGTGTACTCACGCTCACACACATACAACACACTTTTATAAGAGACTGAATAATTGGCTTGAAATCAATTTTATCGTCCATCTGTTGTGAACATTTATGCCCTTGATGATGTGAATACATACAAGATTAGTCTTAAAAGTTTGCATGATAGTTCAATATTTGTGTACGCTACTATTTACTCAGCTAACGACCCTAAAAAGAACAGATCTGTTGTTGCCAGTTTATCCCAAGTAGAAACAACATAGGGCTGAACAATGTGCGAACACCTGTTGAGGATAAATTTCTACAGCTGGGATGTCAGGTCAGGGGCAGCTCTTGGTGCAGGTTAGGTACAGGCCCCTGAAAGAGGATCCTGATTTATGTTTTGTCCAAAGAACATGAGCAGGGCTGTTCCCCCACCCACCAGTCACGCTGGTGTTGCTGCCCTGGTTAGTGAACTAAAATTGAATTCTGTTACCTTTTAACTCACCTCTTTGCAGTGACACTAACGTTGCTTCCTTAAGTACATTCAGTGTTCCTTTTGTGATTACCTGTTCATATCCTTGCCTATTTTTGAGTCTAGTACACGTGGGGAAATTTTGTTTGATACACTTCATCCTAGTTTGTTGTGCATCTTTAAACCTTTGTTTGCTTTTTCTTACCATACTTCATTATCATTTAGTATTATACCACTTAATATAGTTAAATCATCTGTTACAGTTTTCATTTAGTAAAATTTTTGGTATTACATTAAGAAAGGTCTTCCTGGACAGGTGTGGTGGTGCTCTCCTATAATCCCAACACCCTGGGAAGCTGAATCAGGAGGATCTTGAGTTCAAAGAGATCATGGCCTACACAGTGAGCCCACATCAAAGAAAAGAAAAGAAAAGAAAGCCTATCTCAAGCCTAGGAAAAGAAAAAAAATAGACAAAACAAAAAACTTTTCAGAAAGGGTTTTTGATTTAATTGTTTTATATTACAATTTCAAAATGTAAACATATTTTGATAAAGTCAATATTTACTTTAATAAACTTTAATACTTCATTTAATAATTCAATTAAAATCCATTGATAAGAAGTCAGTTTTAAAGCTGGGTGTGATGGTGCATGCCTGTAATCCCAGCACTTGGGAGGCTCAGGCAGGAGGATTGCCCCATGTTCGAGGCCAACCTGGGGCCTGGGCTACATAGTGAGTTCAAGGCCAGCCTAAAAATACATGATGAGATCCTGTTGAAAACAAACAAACAAACAAACAAACAAACCCCCAAAACCCAACCAACCAAACAAACAGGGCTGGGGGTTTAGCTCAGTGGTTCCACCAACTGCTTCACAAGCGCAAGGTCCCAAGTTCAATCCTGATACAAAAAAAGTCAATTTTATCATACACTCCATTTTGTATTTACTTAAATCTATTTCAGGCCTATGTGGTCGTGTGTGTGTGTGTGTGTGTGTGTGTGTGTGTGTGTGTGTGTGTGTGTTGGGTAGGACCCAGGACTGCATGCATACTGGACATGAGCTGTACCACAGAGATGCACCCCCAAGGTCCCCATGTGGTTCTGATGCTGTCTGTTCCTGAATTAATATCATATGCATTTCCCTGGCCCCACCTTTTTTTTTTTTTTTTGCAATCTTCAAGATAAACTTCAGCAACGTTTTATCAAATATGTGCAAAATGTGGTTGAAAATTTATTGCTATTTGCTATGGCTTGCAACTAGATGTCCCCCCAAAGCCTCATATGCTCATAGGTGGAGCTTTTCAGAGGTGCCTGGATTTAGGGTATGTGAGTACGGATTAAAAATGTGTGATAACTAAATTAACCCACTGATTGTTTTAGCATAGTTCTGAATGTGGATAATGGGAAGTCCCACCCTGGGTGTGGGTGGCATCAACCAATAGGCTTATAACCTGGAGGGTATAAAAATCCAGAGGGCTCGCTGCTTTGCTGCTTCATGCCTGTCCTGCCATGGACTGTTTCTTCTCTGCCATGCTACCCTGCCTTATGGACTGAAACCTTTAAGAACTGTGAGCTGAAATAAACCTTTCCTCCTTTAACTTGTCCCAGACATTTTGTCCCAGAAATGAGGCAATAACCAAGACACTATTGTACTAAATCTATCAACTGCTTTAAAAGCTAATATAGTTTTCCTGTTTGAAATCAGAGTATATATATTCATTTTTAAATACTCCTTAGCAAAGTTTTAAACTACTTTTCATGTACTTATTTTACATTGCCTGTTACATAGTTATACCTTGGTTCACAAACTTAATTCTTTTCATGATTCTGGTCGCAAACTGAATAGGATGAGAACCAAATCAAATTCAATGGTTAGGTTCAATGTTGACCTTATGGGGCAATTTGATTTGGTTCTTGTTCAACTTGATTTACAACCAGAATTGTGGAAAGAACTAAGCTGGTGGGCCTTACAGTGTCTGGCAGGCAAGGGATATTTGAGAAATATTATTTGTGACTAAGTGGTTTCTGTTGGTATAAAATAGTATCAAGCCAGGTGTGGTGGCAAGTGCTGGTGATCCCAGCATTCTAGGAGGCTGGAGCAGAAAGACTGCAAATCTGAGCCTAACCTGGGCATCTTAGTGACTTTGTGAAACCTTTTCTAAAAATAAAATAAAAAATAAAAGGGCGGGGAGTGTAGCTCAGGGCAAACACCCTGGGTTTAATCTCCAGTACCACAAACAAAACAAAACAAAGCAAAACACAGCAATAACCACGGCAATTTCTTGTATGCTTATTTCATAAATGGCTAGATAATGTTTTAAGTACTTTCTTTCTGCTTTGGTTTTTGGTTTTTGGGGGGTGCAGGGAGGACCCAGTGCCTCATGCATGATAGGCAAATACTGTACTGCCATCTGTCATCCCTAACCTCAATTTCTATTATTTTTAAATTCTGCATTTATATTTGACTAATTGTACTGACTTCAGTTCTTCCATTTTCCAATTTTTATTTTTCTGGATTAATTACACTAGTTAATACTTAAAGATTCTTATTAAATAATGAGCAACAGCTACAGAGCAAGTAAATGATTCTTTTTGGAGTCCTGACCCTAATGAAAACATTCCAAGAACTATACTATTGATGATGACAAAAGTTAACTTGAGAGTTCTTCACCGAAGTGAGAAAACAGATTTCATTTCTGTTTTACCAGAGTTTTAAACAGGTACTCCTTGGGATAATTATATGTTTTTTAAAAAATCTGCTCTATTCATATACCTAGATTTACTAATATGGCATCATACTGACATTTTTAGAGTATACCTAACTCTGATATATTTGACCTTTTAAATATACTACTGAATGCTGTTTTCATGTATTATTTTCAATTTTTTTTCTATCCCTATTCATAAGTATGGAGTATGAGGAATAAAATTGATCTTTTATTTTCCTTCTGATATACTTTAAGTTTTTAAAGTCAACATTATCTTTTATAAGAATATAAACTTTCATCATTTTCATACACTAGTATACTTTAAATAGGATTGATTTGAATTTGTTTTCTTCCTTGAGAAAATGAGACTCCATCCTTTGAGATGTGAGAATTTAGCTAGTGTTTTTATCTAATTGCTTTGTTTTCATTTTTGAAAGAATCAGCTTTGGAATTTTATATACATTTATTATTTATTTTCAAATTCATTATTTTAGGTTTTATTTCACTATTTCCTTTAGTATTCCTAAGATTATTATGTGCTTATATTTAAATTTTCTTGAGTTTTTGACTTATTACATCCTTTTTACTTAATGATAAAAGTATCTATGAATTTTCCTCTTCTTACAGCTTACTGCTTTCCATATGCAGCACTCTTAAAACTTTTATTTCACTTTTTACCCCAGGCAGTTCAATCTCTACTTGCATTTTTCTTTTTTCTTATTTTCCTATTGTCTAAGGTGAACAGAATTATTTGGGTCACAACCTTTGATTTACAGCACATTGTAATTATTGGCCCATGAATAATTCTTTTATTTATTTGTTCACTTTTTTATTTATTGAACATCCATGAATCTTCCACAAAATCATTTTCAGCTTGGTAGAAGGTCTATCTAAGAATGACTCAGGGGCCTGGGTTTTAGCTCAGTGGTGCCATCACCTGCCTTGCAAGCACAAGGTCCCAAGTTCGATCCCCGGTACCAAAAAAAAAAAAAAAAGACTTGGGCTGGGAATTTAATGCAGTAGCACTGTGCCTGTCTCACAAGTGCAAGGTCTTGAGTTCAATACCTGACACACACACACACACACACACACACACACACACACACACACAATAAAACAAAAAATCAAGAACGACTTTTGCATTTTATTTTTTAGTCTTCCTTCTTTCCCTCCTCTATCCAGTTAATTTCTTTTTCTCCTTCCCTCCCTTCAACCCTTCCTCCCTTTCTCCTTTCCTTCCTTCTTGTAATGTTAGGGATCAAACCCAGGCCTCACACAAGCTAGATGTGCTCTATCACTGAGTACAACACCAGCCCCTATCTTTGATGAGGTTTTCTTGCCCATAAAATTCATTTAATTAACAGTATCTATCTCACAAAGGTACCGTTATTTGAGAATTAAATGAGTTAAGGTTTTAAAATGCCCAGTCAGTACCTGGCCCATAACGCTACTCAAGTGTTAGTTAATATTTTTATTATTTTGCTTGACCAAATTTATTAATAGTATATTTTTAGGCCTTTCATTTTCTTGTTCTATTTGATTTGTCAAAAACTAATAGAATTGTGGTAAAATCTCCCAGTACTATCAGATTTTGGAGCAATTTGGATTTGGGGTTAGGATTGCTCAACTGATAAAGTGTATGAAATCCAAAAATCTCCAAGATTGAAAACATCTCTGGTTCTGAGCATTCTGAAGTGGGGATATTCACCTGTGTAACTATTTCAGGTTTAACATTTCCAGGTCATCTTGTTTCGGGTTTGTCATTTGAGAGGGTCCTTGAAATTGCCCTTGGCTTCCCCTTCCCTTGCCTGTCATCCCTAATCTTTAAGCTGCAGAGAAGCCTGCTTAGATGTTGGCTGCTCGGCCTTCCCTTAGATCTACAGAATTCAGATGGTCTCGGTACTGTCTTCCTCCATCACTAGCCTCAGGGGGCTGAAACCCACTGTACCCACTGTGCTGTTCTGGAAGACACATGCCCTGCTCAGCCCACAGCCTCTTTGCCTCCTCCCCTCCCTGTCCAAACCAATGTCCCTGAGCTTTGAGGAGGAGTGAGCCTTCTCTCTTCTTCAGAACCATTCTGGAATAATCCTGATTCCTTCCTAGCAACACTTGACTCCTGGATATTGGTAGTTGAGCAGAAGGTAGCTTCGACATTTGCCTCTGGTAACAAAAACATATAACTGACTTCTTTAAAAAATGCATTCAGAGCCCCCCCTCCTTTTTAGGTACCAGGAATAGAACTGAGGCCCTTGTGCTTGTGAGGCAGGTGGCAGAACCACTGAGCCGAATCCTTGGCCCAAGAACCCCTTTCTTTTAAAAGATTAATTTCATCCAGTTGCATTTATGATTAAACCATATTCAATCTTGCCTCAAAAAAAAAAAACCCAGAAAAAATGGGCCGGGGATTTGGCTCAGTGGTTCCGGCGCCTGCCTCACAAGCACAAGGACCTGAGTTCAATCCCTGGTACCAAAAAAAAAAAAAAAAAAAAAAATCTTGCCTCTGCCATATTATCTTGTTTTCTGATTTTGCTTCTTTATTGCTTTTTTCTTCTTTCTCGTGTTGTAAGATCTTTATTTTCCTTAAATAATTTTTCCCCCTCAGCAACTTGGAAGGAATATAGTTTGCTTTCTGTTAAACAAGTTTACAACTTTAAATAACACACTCAGACTTCTTCTTCCCAATATATCACTGACATGGTTTCTAACACAGTGCTTGGCTGTCTATCCTGATTAGACTCACCAGACACTTGCCAAAACTCCTCCTCACTTATGCCAGGCGGAGTGTTTCCTCCACAGCCCAGGCTAAATGGTTTTGGCTGCCCTTGTTTATGGCTGTTTCCAAACAAAACTTGTTAACATATTGTCATATCATCCTTCTTTGAAACACAGATTTGGCTGGCTCTGGCTGTGCTGGTAAAACTGCAGGCAGGCTGCCAGTTGTGGCTCCAGGCCACCCTGAACCAGGGGAAGGGCAGTGTGGAGTGGTGTGGGAGGCCCAGGAGTTTGGGAGTGACAGAGCTGAGAAGTGACAGCTGCAGGGTCTTTCTGTGGTTGCCCCACAGGAGGCCACCATGTGGAGTGGAGGCCTAGAGCTTTAGGTCCAAGTGCCCTTTTCCCACTCTGTGGTCCAAAGGATTCCCTGTTCCCTTCTTGCCAACATACAGGGCTTCCTGCCCATGGGCCAAAATGCTTCCATTTCTTCTGCCTTCTTGATCTCCATTTTCTCTATTCACTAGCACCTTCCAGAACCTTCTCCAGGGCTGTCCCATCTCTTACTAGAAGGGCTCTGACAGATCAGTGCAGGGTGCTTCAACGTTTGGGGCATCTCTGGAGACTTCTCTGCTCTACCTGGCCTTGACCAACCTCCCTGTCCTCTGGAGTCCCCTTGACCTCCTGTTTATTCCCCCTGGTTCTCTGCGCCATCCTTGCTTGCCTGTCTTGTGCCAATCTGTGACATCTCAAAGCTGAGGAATCTAGTTTCTCTAACTATACTCAGCGCCCCTGAGGCCAGGGCGGTGGTCTCCTTTGTCTGTTGCTCCCCAAGGTTTATAGGACCAGACAACAGCAAAGCTCAGCACGGAACTATGGAATGAATGGAAAGTCAAGGCAAAGGACTCTGGAATCTGACTGCTTGGTTTCTAATGCTAGCTCTGGGGTGGGACTTGAGTTAAGTTACTTAATGTCTCCACAACAGTTACTGTAGGTATTAAATGCAATGGTGTGAATGTCACAGCCCAGCCTCTGGCCCATCGAGTGGAGCCAGTTGTGACCGTGTCATAGACTTGACCTGACAGAATGCCTGATACTATCTATACACGGGGGCAGGTGTGTCCCAGAGCTCCAGTGTAGTAGGCTGGTGACCTGGGGCAAAGCACTTCTTTTTCATGGAATAAGGAAGAGGCCAGGGCACATGGCCTTTACTCTGGGCCTCCACAAATGCTGTAGGTGTGGAGAGCGCGTGAGCTGCACTCTGCTCCAGGGGCCTGGGGAGCACATTTTCAGCAGGTACTTCCCAGTTTCTGCCCTGGCTTTCCAACTGGAGGCCTCCTTTCTGTGCCCTCCTCCCTTACTCTAGTCCAGCCAGCCCAGCCCTGCATCCCCAAGAGGTACCAGCGCTCCACTGCTGAGCAGGATCATGAAGATGATGAATGTCTCGAACCAGCTGTGCTCCACGATGCGATAGCAGGTCTTACGCAGCCTCCACCAGACTTTCCCTGGGGCCTGTGTGGTGTCCACTGCACAGCAGGGACAGCGCCGGATGCAGCCTATAGGGAAGGGTGACAGGCTCAGCTCAGGCCCTTCTGAATACCCTTGTTTGATGGCAGAAGTCCAGGTGGCTGAGGGAATGGCTGAGGAATGGGATGGTGGACAGGGTAACGCGATGGGTGGACCCAGTGTGGGGCAGGCCGAGGGCATTCCCTGCAGGGACCACACACACAGCTAGATGGGCTAAGCACCCATTGGGCAGGGAGCAGTCTGGCAGGTCTGGGTAGAGGCAAGGCTGGGCCTGACTTGGGTCCCAGCTTTTTCTCTGTGCATCTGGGAAGCCCTGTCCCCGAGAAAATGTTCAGGAACTCTGGGGTACTCTGTCCTGGGTCTTCTCCATCTTTGTAGTTTCTAAGCCTTGGGAAGGGAGACCGCTCAGTTATAGCCTTGACTGCCACATCACACGAAAGGAAACCCCTCATTTTATCCAACGTATACCACCAATTCATAACAGACGTCAGTCACCAACATGGCCACATGCCACATCCACCTTGAGTGTTGCCTAGGGCCTCCAATGTGCACAGCCTGGTGGTACAGGGGTGAATTAGGCCCTGTCCCTGCAGCAGTGGGGCACACACTTGTGCCACCACAACCAAGTGCCACCAGTCCATGGTGCTGCTCACCTGACTCGACATGACTACATCACGGCCAGAGGGAGGGAACCTGGTGTCACAGAGAATTAGGGACAGAGGACAGATTCCAGTTTGGGGTGGGGGTGGGACAAGACCCCTTAAGGTGGGAGCCTTAAAGTGCTACTGGTTCTCTTGTCCCCTCTAGGTGGCGCTGGGGCTGAGGCAAAGGTCTGCCCAGGCAGTACCTTCGGTGAAGCAGTCTTCTGGATCCTTGACGTCCTCTCCGAGGTCAGGGATCTGCTCCAGGAGGTCAGCAGTGTTGGTCATGTCTGCTGTGCTACCTTCAGAGTAACTATCCTCGTGGGTCTGTGGGCATGGCAAAGGGGTGGGAAGGGTGAGGGTATTAATCCGAGTCTGAAGGGAGTCGGGGAGCCCACATCATCCTCCGTGGCACACCCAGGGAAGCTGAGGGTGGGGCCCCTGCTGCAGAGGCAGGGCCAGTGGGGACTGAGCCCAGGCTGACCTCAGGGTCCTTTTGTCTGTGATTCTGGTCAGCTGGGGCTTAGGGCTGGGATGTGGGCGTGTGAATGGTTCTGAAGAACTCGGGTGGGGTGGGGGTGCGTCCAGCTGGGAACAAGCAGACACGGGGCAGCAATGGGGACACATGCTAGGACACGGACACACATCCAGGACAAAGTCAGAACCAGGGTCACGGTCACAGCACACAGAGCAGCAAGGTGGGCATGCAGAAAACAGGGCCACAAGGCACCCGTGCTTCTCCCCCAGCTTATGTGGGTGCAGATGTGACATGTACGCCTGAGGTTAGCCTGAGAAGGTGTGGACCCTTCCCTTCCTGGCCATGCAGGGTTTGCTGCCCAGATGTTGATAACTTGTTTACAGAGGGGTATGAGGTGCATGTGCACGCAGGTGTGTTCTTGCAAGCGTGTCACCTGTGGGCAGTGGCTACTGCTGCTGCTTGTTACAGGTCCCCTCTATTATAGGGCCACAGTACCCAGGCCTGGCTGGCTCAGCCGATCTTTCACCAGGGAGCTGCCATCCTGGGAAAGGGCTCTGCAGATCCCATATCTCAGCAGGACCCAGCTTTCCAGAGGGCCAGCTCCTGTCTCGAGCCGGGACCACACAGTGCAGTTCAGGCTACAGAGCATCCCTGGGCTCCAGACTTTTTCCAGCTTCTTCCTTTGCCTCATCTGCTCCTGGGACTTCCTTGAGGGTCTTCCCTAAGAGGACATCCTTGAGTCAGCTGCACAGGGATCGTGGTCCCCCAGTTCCTGAGCCATCTCTGTTTCTAGGAAGCCCAGGCCAAAGACAGGTGTGGGGAAGGCATCGTGTGAAGAGAGGAAATTCCTTCCCCGCTTCTGGCCGGGTCCGGCTCTGCCTCCATGGGCTCCAGGCCCCACCTGGAGTGGGCTGGACTGAACTCTTAAGCACGGCTGCCCTTCTCTGGCTGCACTCTTTCTCTTCCCTTGATGAATGCCTCTGCTGACGTCTCCACATTGTTTCCACTTTTGAGGTTTGTGATCAGAAAGGCCTGGCTCTGGGGAAAGCAGAGCCTGCTACTGGGTGTGGACAGGCATAAGGCTCTACATTTTGTGGTCCTATGTCTTTGAGGGCTCAGAGAGGGCTGAGAAGTTCTTCCTGCTGCATTTCTGCTGTCCAGGAGACAAGATCATAGGATCCCACTCCAGGTGAGACGAGAGAGTCCTTTTCCAGGGGAAACTCCAGTACATTTTCTCTCCTTTTTAAAGGCCCCACAATAAACCAATTTGAGGAAAGGAAGCGGTTATACAATATGTTCAAAGACCCACATTCACTGCTGGTACTTTTCAGTCTCTTCCCCATCTCCCCACTCCCATGTAGTTCAAGGGTCAGACCATCATGGGGGGGTGGTGACCAGCAGTGCTGGGGTGATGACTCTTCTAGGCCCTTGTGCCTCAGAACTAGCTGTGAGCATAGGAACCCCTGGGCCTATTTCACATGCCCTGGGCTGAGGCCTGAGGTCAGCACTCTGAACACTAGGCCTCCCCTTCTGCACGCTTGAGGTGAGTGAGGCCGGGCAGCAGTCAGACATGCCACAGTCTCTCAACTCTGGGGCCGAGCAGGGAAGGACAGGTGGCCCTGTGGCATACCTGAGAGCTCCAGCCACTGTTAGGAAGGCAGCTACCACTAGCTGGCTCCTGTAGCAGGGGTGGCACCTCTACCAATGTTAAAAGAGAAGTCAAAATGCAGATTTTTACACGAAAGTTCCCAAATTTGAAAGGGTGTCATCTAATTCAAAGTAAAACTTGTTTATTTTTAAATTTTGGTACTAGAGATTGAACCTAGGGTCTCTGCACTGAGCTACATCCTCTGCTTATTTAAAAGAAAAAGTTTTTTTGAGATAAGGTCTTACTAAATTGCCCAGGCTGTGTTTGAACTTGTAATCCTCCTGCCTTAGCCTCCCAGAGTGCTGGGATAACAGGTGTGCACCATCCCACCTGGCTAAAGTAAAGCCTTTTGGTGGCCAAATAAATCCCTACGGCAGGCTGGGGTGATGGGCTCCTGTTTGTGGCCTCTGCTTTAGTACAGTGGAGAAGCAACTGGTGAACAATGTGCTAGGAAGTTTTCTGAGCTCTCTTGTGGGGAATTCACAGGACAAACACTTGCCAAACAGGACGAGAGCACAGGAGCAGAGTGGAGGGTGAAGCCAGAGGTGTGAGGTTAGTGCTGCATGGTGTCTGGCATTATCTCTCCTGTCAGGACGGGTGCCCACCCTTCTCTTTGCAGACAGGTCCCCATGCTTCCTGTGACAGTGGCAGTGGCTCCCACCAGCAAGTACAGGTGTGCGCTGGGACTTCTCACAGCTGCGCCCGCCCAAGCAGCACAGCCCGCCATCTCCAGGGACAATGGCGTGCATTACCTCACTGCACCCTGGGGCCCGGGGCTCTGCTTTCCGCTGCTGCCGCCAGTCTCCCTGAGACGCCCTGGCCTCGGCCTCTGAGGAGGTGGTCTCTGACCCCTGGCTCCAGGCCCTGGTCTCCCGGGGGGGCTCTGGGCCAGCAGACACAGGCTGGGATTCCTGCTGAAGAGACCCCAGCCCATGAGCCGGCCTATACACCTGGCCAGAAGGACTCTCTGCAGTGGCCACCTCACTATGGACTCGCAGGGCCCTGAGTGGGTGGTGGGAGCTGCCTGGAGCCCCAGGCACAGGTCCGGTAGCCAAAGACCCTGGCACAATCCTGGCTCCAGACTTCAGCATGAGTGTGGCTGGACCATACTGTGAGTACAGCCAACTTCCCTGAGGAGGGACATGCTGACTTCCCCCAGGAGGTCCCAAAGCATCCAGCACACTGGCTCATGTGCACACACACACACACACACACACACACACACACACACACACACAAACACTCCCACGCGGGCCCCAGAGAGCCAGAGTCAACAGGCTTAAGAGAAGGAAAGGACAGGAAAAGAGGGGCAGTCGGAATTCCACTCCTGGGCAGAAGATAATTGGAGGCTGCGCTCTTGGCGACCCCCCGACCCCTGACACAGACTACACAGGCAAGGGTGGCCTCTGGGACCACAGGGAGGCCAGGGAGGTGGTGCTGAGTCCTGAGCTCAGCAAGGGGTGCAGGAGCGCTGCTCTCTACTGCCAGGCTGCCCAGCGCTGGCCCACCTCCATGGGGAGAACAGGACTGCTGTTTGACCTGAAGACCCAAGCAGAAGTCTCTGGAGCCGGGCTCGGGCCAAAGGAACACTGCAGGGTGGTGCTGTCTGTTTTGTCCAGACTCTGGTCCCAAGTGTTAAAAATAACGGGTTGGGAGATAAGATAGTGCTGTCTCTGACACCTCTGTCTTAGGGATGCTTATTTTTAAATCTCAGAATAAGCCCCGAGCATGGAGGAGGGGAAGGGGCAGTGTGAAGGTCAAGAAACCACACTCCACCCAAGCCAAGACATTCTACCTTGCTGGTCCTGGAAGTGAGCAATGGTCAGGGCTGAGGGCTGGCTCTGGCCTAGACTCACAAGGAGCCCCAAGAAAGTCTCTGTTGCCTTGCCTCAATTTTCCCTCTATACAGCTAGTAGTTCCCATGACCAGCTGGCCCCAGCAGCCCTTTATCTTCACCCCACCCCTTCACGCTCTTCTGCTGCTGAGGTAGCTGGGTGGGGCTGGAAGCGAGGCCCCTGGACGGCAGGGCTCTGTGGGCATGGCTCACCTGCTTGCTGGATTCTTCCTCGGTGACCAGGCTGTTCTCATCATCCTCCTCCTGGTCATCTGTGTCTGACTCGGCCACAGCGATGGGCACGCACACGGGCTCTGGCTCCCCAGCGGGGCCCTGGCCAGCATGCTCGCCCTCCTCAAACCGTGTTTCCTTGCGGGCTGGGGGTGCCTTCTCCACTTCCGGGGGTGGTGGGGAGCTGGGGCTGGCCATGCAGCTGGGCAGCTGGCTTCGGGGAGCTGGGGCTGCAGGCTTCTTAGGCCGCTGCCGCAGGAGCCCACAGCAGAAGTCCCAAGTGGTCCGTTTGATGAAACGCAGACCCCGCTGGATGCGGGCCAGGGCCAGCTGCAGGTTGTTCATTTCCCCATCCTCGTCGGGGGCCGTGAGGTTGTCGGCACTGAAGGAACTGAGCAGCAAGGCCAGGAAGAGGTTCAGGACCTGTGGGGACAGGGCCGGCTCGCCCAGGCACTGTGCACGGCATGGCACCAGCCTCAGCTGTGTGGTGGGGACACCGAGGCCAGAGATCCTGAGCACTTCCCAGGGGAGACAGCTCTAAGGCTACAAGCCAGGGCCCTCATCCTAACGCCCAGCCCTTGTTTTCTGGAATGCGGAAGATTTGTCTAAAGAAGAGAAACAAATTCAAGTCCTTCTTCCTAATGGCTCAGAGAGTCTGAATCAAGGACTTCTGGAGCCAGGTCAGGCCCCAGTGGGGGGTTTGGCAAAGAAGCACAGAAGTCGTCAGAGCCTCTCCAGGTGCCAACTGCTTTTCCACACAGACTTTCCTCCAGCCTCACCTCTTCCTGCTTCCTTGGGAGTAACAGGGAAATAGGATCAGGGTGGACACAGGGGAAAGGGCATTCAGGGAGCAGAAAGAATCCCACCGGAAATCCTCACAGCTCTAGGGACCTTCTTAGGAAGGTGCCATGTGTCTGTTAGTGAGGGAGCTATAGAGCCTCCGAGTTCCCCACAGAGGTGGCTCTTTGCTCGAGACCAGGGGCTGCTGCTACAGGGCACAGTCTGCCTGTTCTCCATCGGACTGCTCTTTTCAAAGAAGGAATTCAAGGGACTAAGCAGAGAAGTGGTAATGGCAGGAAAAGAGGCCTGGAGGACACAGAGGCCCTCAGATGCCTCTGGTGGATCGTGGGGTTGGCCACAGAGAGGTGGCTGTGTCTGTCTTGTTAAACCAGCTGGAGGGATGCTGTGTGTGGGACCAGACACTGTGCAGTGGAGACCTGGGGCTGGTGCCAAGGTCAGCCCAGTTCCAAGGCCCATTCTGCTGCAAAGGTCAGAAGAGCAGTGTACAGTCCTGAGGTTCTGAAGGCACAGGACTTTTCTGAAGTTAGTACTTATTAGGGCGAGGGATGGGGGACTTGAATGACCCCTCGACCTTTGTGTGGTTCTGGACAACTGTCTGTTGTTGAACCATCTTGCTCACGTGGGGCTTTTGTTAAGAACCAGAGTGTCTGTTGTGTGACAAGGGGCTGGGCTTGGGTCCACTTCCCATGCTTGTGGTGGGTGAATGAAGACAGCAGCTGATTTGACCCACACAGGGTTGGGCTGACCCATGGGATTGCCAGGCTGACATTACCGAGTCCCAGGCTCCCCACAGTGGGCTTGGTGTCCCTGGGGCAGGAGTGGAGTGGGGACTCTGCAGCAGGGGGGCTGATGAAGGAGCACAGAGTTCTCACTGCAAATCCACTCTGTGTCCCAGGTCTGACTTCACAGCCCCTCAGAGAGGCCCTCACTGGATCCCACACCTGTCAGAAAGCTGGGAATGAGAATTCTGTGGGAAGCAGGGAGAAGCACGGAAGCCTTCTGTTTAAAAAGTAACACATATGTACATGGCCGCTACGGGAAGCTTTAGGAACAGACGGCTCTAGCCATCTCTGGGAGAGATGAGCATTCCTGACACTGGGCAGGTCTTTCTTTGTTGTGTTTGCAGGGCTCGACTTGTGATGGAAATCAGAGCTGCTACCTACATGCACCTCTGGCCTGGCCTTTGACTGCGGTCTGCAAGGGCCAGACATGGCTCTCCTAAGTTCCTGCAGCCTCAGGGGAATCCTCTCCCACAGCCCTCAGCCTTGTCTCACCCCGAGTCCCTTGATCCCAAGAGTTCTGGGCTCAGTAGGGGCATCTGGTGGTCTTGTCCACCCACACAGGACCCACGGGCCTCCCTTGTCCCCAGCTTCCCAAGCTCAGCTTTCTTCTAGTGCTTCCCCATCAATCATGCACCGCTCTCCAGCCCTGCCTGATCATCACTTCCCATTTCAATGGCAATCTTGCTTCCACCCACGCTGCCGGCAGCAGCCCAATTCCTGAGGTGGCCGGGGAGGGGGCTGCGTGGGCTGGTGTTCGCTTCCCTCCTCCAGCAGCCTCTAATCTCATCCCCAGGCAGATCCGCTCAGAAATGGCAGGGCTCTGTGTGTGAGGGGAGGCTTGGCCTGGCTCCGAGCTCAGGGCTCCACACATTCGCTCACTGCTCAGAACAGTCTGGTAGCCCTCCCCTCTACCCTGGGCCTTGGGCCAGGGGCTAAGTGAGGCTCCACCCCAGGGCAGCAGGTTTGAAGGCGCAAAAGAGGGAGTGTGGGGCCAGCCACAGAGCTGGGCTCTATTGGCACTGTACACTGACGTCCTGGTTCCTCTGGGGACTGAAGGGCCTGACCCTGGCTTGGCTTGGCTTGGCTTGGCCAGGCTGAAGCTCTTGGGAGGTGACGGCCGGCAGACTTGGGGAAAGCCTCTGGTTCTACAGTCCATACTCTTACCCCACAGCAGGCTGCAAAGGCTGATTGAAAACCTCTCTATGTGCTTATGTGAGCTGTATTGCCCACAGCAGAGACCTAACTACAGTGGAGCCAGATCATGCAGGTATGGTTGTGTTGGGAAGGTGTCTCCACAGCCACAGGGGACCCTGATTTGTGTCTGAACCCCTACTTGCCTCAACCTTACTTCTTCCTAAGGCCCCTTCTCTGGAACTAGGCTTTCAATCTCTCATCTCTGGAATTCTGCACATTATAAAGATGCAAGGCAAGAGACACTTGCACTGAGACAGACAACCGCCCCCCACAACAGGATAAGACTCCCACTACATCTGTTCAGGATGACATAAAAAGTCCTTACTGGGCCCCACCCCACAGGATCTCCACCTGTCTGCTCCTGAGCTTGCTCAACCTTTGGCATTTCCTGTTTCTCAGGGCATTTTTTTCCAGGAAGCCTTCATCCATCTTCTAGCTGGAGGGGAACAGCACCCATGGGCTCCTCCTCAGTGGCTCTGCTCACTCTGACCAGTCTGAGGATGATTTGAGGCCTGTCTAAGCTCCCCACCTCCCCTTCTCCCTAGGTGAGTAGCATCAGGCTGGGGCTGGACCCCATATACCTCTGGGTGCCCACCAGCACCCAGCACAATGTTTTGCATGCTGAACTGACAATAAAATAATTTGTAGGTAAATTCATAAATGAGAAAATGTGTAAATAATGAATAAACAGGCAAGTAAGTGGGTAAATTAATGAGTAAGCAAAAATACAATTCAGGTGAGTGATTCAGGCTGGGGATATAGCTCAGTGCTATAGACTCTGCCTACTAGGTGTGAGGCCCTGGGTTCAATGCCCAACAGTGCTAAAAAAAAAAAAAAA